TCTATAGGGATTGTCTAATCCGTCGTCTTTGAGACCGGTATAGAGGCTTTTTTGATTAGATGCTTCAATGTCTCAATGTCATATGCGACTCGGGGGTTTGCCCCTCTTGTGGGAATATGTCACCGGGCAAGCCCGTGAAGGATGCAGCGAGAACCCTGCTGCATACTATGTTCGCGGCTGCAGCCCCTGTGCTTCAATCTATCATTGATGCCAGTTGAATAGCCATATTGACAATGGTTACAAAGTCGCCTTAAGAGGCAACTTGCCTCGGTACGGGCTGCCGAAGAGGAAAGAGTTGGCGTGTCAAAAGGCCCTTGATCAATATCAATAAGGTTCGACATGCTGGGAACATCCAAAAAAAGATCCATGAACATTGAAGACCATTGACACGGTACCATGCAGAACTTACTCGTTATCAAATCTCCGACTATCACTGACACGGTGAGTAATAACTAAATGGATCGACCCAGCCAGAACCTTTTCGTGTTAGTTCGTGGGGTTCCGCGCCGCTCAACGTCCATTATCCGTATCATCAGGGCATCGGGTTAACCGAGTTAGGTACGGACGCGCATCCTCCGGAGCTTCAATTGGGACCAACGTCGTAGAAATGCATGCTCAGTACCAAACATCAGTTTTGTCTACACAGCAAGTTTCGACGATAGTCTTCAACATAATTTCCCTGACCCTTGACTCTTCCGGACGGATCACTACCGAGGCGATGGTAAGCTCCCGCGATGGCGCAAAGGGGGGCTACTGGCTATGCCCCGCAGACTTATTCTACACAAAGATGCTTTTCGGGTGTTGGAGTTCATCCTCATCGACCAGCCTCGAGGGAACTTGACTGCCCTCACACGCAACCTAGGTACTCCGTGGGATATGGGGTCTTCAGGTTGAACTTACCCGCCGTGTAACCAGTGGACCGGATGACACTTCAGGAAAAAGTGACAAAATCAGAAATCGTACGAACTGAAACGCAAACAACGACTCTTCGTCTAGCATGTGGCATATGGTGCCATTCGTTGCGGGACGGAGTACACTATCACTCTTTTCATCCATAACTGCAGTACAGACGGACGTACTGTATTTAACTTTGAGGGCGCGTGATAGTTGATCCCCGTTTAGATTTAGCGAGGAGCGAACAAGGTTCTCGGCTACACAAGGGCCTAATTCATGCAAAGTCTGAGCGCACGCCCAGGACGTGTGCTGGCATGAAACGTCAGGTACCGCCATTAGGCGCGACATAGACTTGCGGGAGCTTCTTTTAGAAGTGTCGCGATTCGATCATCAGGTTGAGGTTGGGCAGGAAACGATCAGACATGTCAGTTGCACTGAAGAGGCCAGGCGATCGGAGAATGAACGGGGGGTATATGGAGATTGTGAAGTCTGTATTGGTAATGAAACGAGAGAATGGTATCACAAACCCATAGGTAGATCATGATGTCTCTTTGGGGGCCCCTCCCATGGTGGGCAGACACCTTTCGTAACCTTCGGATTCCTACCGAGGCTTCTAAAAACCCGTTCCCTTTTTTGAGCATTGCTGCAAAAGTCCCGTCATGCTCCTCTGCATCCCGCAGTCACCGCCGTGCCATAGAGAGAAGGAGAAGAAAAATCACAAGAGTGTAGTGCAGGCCTCGACTCCTTGACGAGGTGCCTCCACGTTAAGCCAACGAACGAGGAAAAAAAAGACAAAGAAAACTCAAATCCTCCGTGGAGTTGCCTTACGGCAATCGTACCATGAGGAGTATTTCCCATCAGCCGTGTACATAAACAGAATGATATCTCACCGCCTCGCCCCAAAGCAAAAGTAGAATAAATCCATAAGTCTTGAAGCAAGTCCAGATCAAGAGAAGAAAGAAAACCTTAAAAAGGGACCGCTCCGCTATACGCCCACCGAGATCGGCGGCAGAGTTTGCATGAAGTCGAGCCAAGATGCTCCTGGTTGGTTGTCCCGAATATCCCACACGGCTTTCAGGAATGTTTCCATGCTGCTACGGTACTTGCTGTTGCCGCTATCGATGAGCGACTTGATGGCATCCATGGCAGTCTCCCGCTCAGCCGCGTCCTTTGCTTCGATGGCTGCAAGAGTGTACGGAAAGCTGACACAGCGTTGCTTGTCTTGCGAGACTGTCAACGTCATCTGCAGGTCTGAGATGATGCTCTTTGCCATTGCAGACGCCATGTCATCCTTTTCGCCAAACTTGTACCTCAATCGGTGGATGTACAGCATTGCTGCCGTCTTGTAGATGCGGCTTTGGGCCAGCATGTGGATGACTTCGCTCGTGGTAAAGCGGTTTGTAAAGTCTGGAGGGATGACCGGCTGCCACGCTTCGATTTCTTGCTCCACTTCGTCCAATGCTTGCGTCTGTTCTTCGACGTCGACTTCGTGGTAGAGATGATAGCTGATGCGGCACAAGTCGTACATGTGTTGCAGCAATGGCATACACACGCCAACATACGCATCGACATGGCCCGCTTCGGGAGGTGCGATTCCACATACTGGGAGTTCGCGCTGCATCAGGCATTCGTTGATGTCGACAGCCGTCATGTATACGAGGATGTAGTGTGTCCGTGAGCTGGATATTTGTGAGGTTCCCAGAAGATGGCGAATGTGGCTCAGCACGTATCGTCGTACAGGCGCCGCACTGGTGCCGAGGGCCATGTTGGAGAAGTACACGATACCCAATCCCAACCCTGCCCACGGTAGCAGTTCGTCGCGCTTGAGTGTAGGCAGTGGACAGGATCGAAGGTGTTCGACGGCCATTGCGCCGCGGTGTAGATTCGCTTCCGGGTCGTATTCGCCCGTCTCCAATCCCATTGATGACGCGAATGCGCTATACATGGCGATGTAGGCGTCCTTGCCCTGGTCGAACATGGAAAACAGATGGACTGTCATGTCCAGCTGCATGCTGTCGACGAATGTTGGGCTGATGAAGTACTGCATAAAGTTGGACTTGTGCAGTAATCGCGATAAGGAATTGCGTTCGACGGTATCTAAACGGCCCAGCGTGCTACCGTATGGACTGAGTGACTCAAGGATCTTGGAAGGAGGACTCGATGCCGATTCGGTTGACGAGTCGGACGAAGCATCGTCGGGAGGGCTGCCGACGCTCGAGGCCGTCGCTATACTCGGCTTTCGTGATACGGAACACGGCGGGGAGCTAACGCGGGCGACAGTCGTCGTTGTTGTCGTCGTCGGCGGCGCTGTCGTCGGGACGATCACGTTGGCCTTTCGAGGGATCGGGTTCGGACATGGCACACCGGCGCCCATGATCTTGCTCCTAACTGCGACCTTTGACCTCCCCTTGACTGCTGACCTTGGCACGGGGCGTACAAAGACGCAGTCCCGGCCGTTCATCATGCAGCGATCGCATTGCGGGTTACCTTCCGAGAAGGTGCATTTTGACTTCTGATAGTAGCACGGCGCGCACGCCTTTGCGACGGGCTGGAGACGGAAAGGGTCAGCATGGTGACGACGGAGAGGCAGAGGCGCCGAGGCACCCCGGTGGTTGGTGGTCAAGGAAGGGAACACATGGTCGAGTGATCAAGGTGACCGAAGGCGACGATGATATATCATGAACGCCGATGACGTTCATGATAGTACATCAACACTCAACACCCGATGAAAGTGGAATGCCTCGACGGAGATAGGCGATGACGAGAAGCTGCTGTGCTGCACTCACCATTGTGAATCAAGATTCAGGTGGGGTAGTCCATTCGATGTGCTCCAACAGACAAAGTTCTGTGGGGAGAGAACAAGAGTGACACGGCCAGGACACGCAAGAAATCTGGGTCGATAAAGGCCTGTGGCGGGTCGTTGATGATTAGTACGTGTAAGCGTTGCGTTCTCGGGATTCTGTCTCTCTTCAAGGTGTGAATCCTCCTCGATTTCTGTATTGCCAAGGTTGAATAGCCGTCGTCCTCGGGTTGATGCTGTGAGCTTTTGGTGGTGCGGGCAGAGAAGGTATGTGTGTGTGCAGTCCGGGTTCGTTGAATGTAACTGGCAAGTCGAGAGTGCGTTGAAGAGTACGTTGGGGAACCGGCGTTGCAGCGGACGGGCGAAGATCAGTAATTGCCGAAGGAGTTAAGGAGGAAATGGGATGTAGAAGTGATGTTATGTTATGGTTGTTGGGCAGAAGGAGGAAGACAAGACAAGACTACAGTCTACTGGTAGGGGGCCTGGGATGTGAGATTAAGCTTCGGGCATGGCGCGCATGGATTTGATCGAGCGAGCAGTCAGGCTGAGGGAGCGGTCTGATCCATGGTGATCATGAGGGATTGATATTCGGTATCGGGACGACGGAGACTCGAGGCGTTTGGTTTGGTCTTGTTTGGTGGGCTTGGGTGGTGGTCAAGTCAAGTACTACAGACAATGTATCCTGCAACCCCCCCTTTTGAGAAGTGTAACCTGACGGAGGGGGGGAACCAGGGGTTGGACGAAGGAGAACGGGGAAGAGAGAGGACGAGCAGGTAGACCCAGAGAGGGTCAAGGCTACCAGGAGTCTAGGGGAACGGAACAAGCAGCCAGCTTGGGGTGTGTGGGCAAGCAAAAAGACAAGGTAGGGATTGGTCAGGATGGGATGGGGAAGGCAATGGGAGACGCGGGATGGTGATTTTGGATTAGGCAAAGCCGCCGCGAGGCAACGGCTGTGCTGGAGGGTATTCTGTTTGCTTGGCTTCTATGGCTTGGAACGCCGCTTTGCTCGCTCGTTTGGCGCAGAGAAGGATGATGAAGGTGACAGAAGGTAATGATTTGATGATGAAAGGCGGAACAAATTTAGGGGTCCCCGACTACGACCTTCATCAGTAACCGGAGCCAGCCATGTACGGATACATGCCTCCAGTCTCTTCAATGCTCATTTCTGTTGGCATATTGAAAGGCAGAATGGGGTGTGCTGATGTACCAGCACTAACAGAATTCCCCTCCACCATCTTCTCAGGCTCCTCTCTCTCCCTCTTCCCTCTCACCCTCTCTCTCACTCAGCTGCCACCATCTAGGATCGATGTCTGGCGGGCTGGCGACCGCATGCGGGTATACAGAGCTAGCGTCTACGGATGCTAGCTGGCAATACATGCGCCAGTCCGTGCGCATCAGAAGTAGAGTACGAAAGATCCAGCAGAGAGAGCAAAGGAGACTGCTGAGTGGTGAGTGGTGAGTGGTGACTCGGTGAGTGGGAATAGAAGATGAGGAGAAAGGGAAACGAAGCCTGTCTTGCTCGTCAGCCCGAGCAAAGCACAAGCATGGAAGGCTTGGCCTCGCACATGTCTTCCTGTGAGAATAGTCAGTACAGCATGTATGGTACTTCCTACGTTCTATGATATCCGCGTACGTAAAGACTACTCCGTACACACTTTTTCGTATCGACATAGTTGTATGCTGGCCCTTCAGTGAGTCTCTCTGAACGCTACGCTTCCATCGCTTGGCTTCAACCAGCGGCCTTGCTTGCAACACTGCTCCCCCCCTGAAACGTCGAGGCGGTGCAGTCACAATATGGGCACGCCCGTTGGCCCTTGGGAAGCAGAAAAAGAGTGGCCCGTTTTGACTTTTTCCCTTGCACTCGCACGGACTTTGTGTTAAAGCAAGGGCAGAAGCGAGGAGAGACACGCATGCCAGACTCCAGAGAGGGCCACCGCAAAATGGTAGTCTTCAGGCCTGGGTAACTGTATGGAGTACCTGTATCCATAGGCTTACTACTAGTAGTAGTCCCGTAGAGACTAGGTAGTATGAATATCCGCAGAGAGTGGAGGATCAGAGGATGTTCTGGGGACCAAGACCGGGACTGGGGGGCCCACGATGATGAATCCAAGGAGTGGAGGAGAGCGCTGTGATGCCCCCGAAATTCAGGGCAGCCTGTTGAAGATCAGATGGGCTCGCGGGTTGTTTCTCCCAGCCCGCCTACTGCTGGCCCGTACGAATACTCGCTCTTAGGCTTTATGCTGTCCATCAACACCCTAGGCGATGCCACTTGATGGTGCTATAGCGACGAGAGAAAGCAATAGGTAGGTAGTCTTGGACATCAGTGTCATTGCTGCTGGGTGGCAGGGGAGCTCCCGGCTCATGCTGGCACCGAGGGGGCTTGATGTCATTTCATCTTCTCCATGTGCATGGAGAGCACGAACCGTCTTGCTGTCTAACTTATTTCTACCGTCTCTTGCGCACTCTGATGTGCCCCTCAGACTCTGGCACGATTCGTGCGCTTGTGCTCAAACCAGAACCAAAGTGTGTCATCTGCCCTGGCAGACAGGCTGAGGATGAACGTGCAGTGAATGTTGCGAGCCTAGTGAAGTTGGAAACAACGCTCGATGGGTACCTATTCGCACAACTCACAAGTACACTTACTTCGTACCGGTACTCCCAGCCCTCGACCTGGCCTGCTTCTGAGCATTTGCGCAAACAAGATAGTAGCCGGGTTGATCGAGACCCTGGCTTTGGCGTCTTGGGGCTAGCTCCCGGGGGCCCGCGTCCCGGTTCAAAGTGACAGAACTGGGGCAGAGCTGGGAGGAGCTGAGAGATGGCGCGGGGTGGCACCGTGGGAATCAGCCCATGGGCACAGAGCGAGATATGGACTGTTCCGACTTCTTTTTGTTTCTGTGCCACTTGTTTCGGTGTCCCTGACGACTAGACTGGTCGAGACTTGGAGCGTCCTATGTTGGCACGCAAATCAGGAACCAGCACGAGGTTGGTGTCTCAGAGACGAAGTGTCGTTCAACAACAGATGTTCTATTCCTGGGAACTAGCCTCTAGGTATTGCAGACTTGCGGGCACCGGGGAAAGGTTTCTGCAGGCATGGGGCGTCGCAATCTGCACGCTGCTTGAGCTTCTGTGGTGAACGGATACCTGGTACCATCCTGCAAGTCGTCAATATTTCCTGATCTGCGGAGCCTATGTCTCGACATCTACGGCTTAGCATTGATAATGTCTGCCGTATCAGGTGGCTAGAAATACCCATCTCTCGCCTACCCGTCACGTTCATCAATCAGACCCAAGCCTATTTTAGCCGCCAAGCTTGTCCTGGTTCGTCGCAGCAAGCAGAGTGTTGAGGAGGGGGCCTGCAAGTCCGCAGGTCCGCAGTGATTCCGTGGGATACAAGGATGATTATGCAGCGGGTTTATCCCCCCTCCATCCCCATCTCCAGAGTCCAGGGTTCAAGGACATGCAAACCACTGCAAGCCTGCAAGGACTACAAGCGAGGTATTGCTAACCATTACCCAATGATCTAATGACCTTCCAAGACGCCTCAAAGATGTCTGGTGTTGCGTTCTGGTCTGAGAGAATCTATTAAAGCAATAAGATGGGCACATGGATGTCGAGCCCTCGTCCATAACAATGACATGCCGCTAAAATGGCCACATGCCAGGACAGTTGGAGAGATCACGCTTTCTAAGCTGACAGCTGAGTCGTCATCCTGGACAACTCCACCGGAGGCAATTTGCTTCCCTTGATTGTCCCACGTGGGAGGGGCCAGATACCGCTCCCGACACTATGGCCTCAATCTCCTCTCTTCGTCTCGATCTGCACTGCACCTTTCGCATGTGCCTCAATGGGAGGCAATGATGGCCAGGAATAATTAGCCCCTATCCCGGCAGATGCTGATTTAGCCCCCAAAAGAACGTGCACAATAGACTCCAGGGACGAGAAACCCAAGACATCAAGGTCTAGATCAACAACACCGGAGTGAACGAGATTGTTCATTCTCGACATAATCTCACAGGAACAGGTCTCCAAAGCCAAGCACGTAAGCACATAGACAACCAAACGTACTGCGTATTGTCTACAACCGAGTCTGACAACACACCCTACAGTCTCAATAGTCAGTCAAATCAACCATATTATTAGCCTTTCCACCCCGTTAGCCCGCATCTGTTAAACACACTTTACAATCCCTCCCCAGGACGCTAGGCGCCTCCGGGCTAGGGAAAAATGCGACAAGCAGTCAGTCGAAAGCTTCGTGGTAGCACTTACCGGCTTGCACGGCAAGGTCCTTGGTTCTTCCCAGCTTAAGCCAAGCATCAAGTTTGGGCGAAACGCAAGATGACTCCACGCAATTCCCTCCCCTCCCCTCCCCTCCCCTCCCCCCGTCCAACGTTCGCGCGCGGTGATCAAGCCAAAGGAGCCTCACAAACGGTGACAGAAACTTCAGAACCCTTCACAATCGACCTCAATTGGGGCCTAAGCCTTGGCAACCATGGGCTTCGATTAGATGGCATCGGAACGGAATGCCGCTTTCTGGACTTGGCTTGGCTCATGCGCCAGCCGCGCCTTTCCTCTTCAGCCTTTGCTAATGACAGTATCCCCGAGTTGCCCCCTTGCCTTGCGGCTTGGCAACCTTAGACCTAGGCATTGCTGCGAGCATTCAGGAAGGGATGCGTCGCACCGTCGCCAAATCTTTCTTCTTGGCAGGCAGACAACGGCATCTCTATCGCCGCTCCAGGCCCTTCTCACTCTAGGACTACTGCGTCAATGAGGCGAGGTATCGCCATCACGAGTGGGCAATTGAGGCTTGGCGCGCGCCCTCAGCCATCAGCCATCGAGATTGCCAAATGTCCCATTTTTTGCCCCTAGAACGTCCCAAGTTTGATTTGGAAAGATGTTCACGCCTCAGGGTTTCACGGGCTCGGACTGTAACGTGGTTGTTGACTCGCAGAGAAACAGATTAGGAAACATGTGCCTATGCTATACAAAAGAAGCTACTGGAACTTCTTCTTGCGCATCAGACATGCAATGTAAACTTTCGGGCGGAACCCGAGTGTCGCGTAGTTCATCCTTCATAGTCCCATCCGAAGAGAGTCGAATCGCTGGGCAGACTCAAGGTCATCGTCAAGGTTTAGGGCAGAGATATTACCATGGCGAGAAGGTCCAGCCCCATCCTTTCCACATGATCGTACCATAACGACACCTCTCTGCTTCCTTTTTCTCTGATTATCAACAAGCCACAGAGAGGCTCTACGAATCGGTACCGTGGCCTGCCCTACGAGCTGAACCACCACTCCTCCTCCAACCCAACCCCAGATTTTAGGGCTCTCTGTTGGAAACCGTCCCTGCAGGGGGGGCTTTTTAAAGAGACCGAACCGGATGAGAAGCCATACCCCTCCACGCCCTCTGACCTTTCCCTCCCTGGGTGTTCTAACTATGGTGAGCTCAGTCAAACTTGGCTCTAGCAACTCCCTGCCGCTGGCGGAACGTTTCTGGGAGCATCCCGGGGCCCTTGGCAAGCCCTCGAAACTCAAGCCGCCTCGCTGGCGGGGCCGCATTTCTCGTCCGTCAAAGCTGGTAGCTCACAGACTCAAACCCACACTTTTTACACACAGCAAAATCAAGGTTCAGCCAGACCCCGGGTCTGGCCGCGGATCATCTCCCCTCCTGCTTCTTTGGATATCATGCTCTTGGCTGTGTCGGACAGCTCGGACGCCCGCTGTCGTCTTGGGGCGGGGGACCCTGCCTTCTTTTCTTCCCCTGCCCCTCCACGAATACCTATCTCGTCGTTCTTCAGACTCCATTGTCACTCGGCCCTCGGGGCGGCCCCCGACCATTGATAAATGACAGTAACGTTAACGGCTTCCTCAACGTGGTCAATTATCCAAACCTCGGAAGAGGCCGCGGACGGTTCGTGATCATAAGCGAAGACAGATTGCAGTCCTAGCCTCATGGATATCCAAGCTACCCGGGCGAATCAGAGATGCTACCGCTGGACAGCCCTGACGACATAGCGTAGCAGTCTGGATAATTCGCATCGCAATATCCCAAGGGGGCTGGGCTGTGATAATGCTCTCGACCTGGCCATGAGATTCAGATCATTGAGATGCGGTGATAATTATTTCCGTACAACTTGTTCAGTATGGACTAATCTGTCCCGTAACCACAACGTGACCACGGCTCCCAGACTTGGCATGAGGGGACACCTCTTTTTTTGTTCTCTGTCAAACCTCAGTTGACTCGAATCGACTCAGAGACGTTTCGTTCGTACCTCTTCAAAAAACGAGCTGGCAAATCACAGCCGTTGGTGTCACAAGATTTCCAACACTAACGAGTCAAGAAGCTCACAAAGGGCCATGCTTTGCCCCAAGAGGAGAGGGATCGATGATCGTGTTTCCGTATCCCGTGGGCAGGTGGTTGGTCGAACGCCTAGACACCATGCTGGCGCCGGACGACAGGTCGCCCGTCGTATCCTCTCCCACGTTATCCGTAAAGCAAAGGCAGACGTCGTATTCTCTCTCTGTTTCCTCGGCAGGGAAAAGAACACGACCTGTGCTTCCAATGGGGGAGCCTGACTCGGGAAGTTCAGGCTTTGGCGAGTGCTCACAACGATCAACCCAACCTCCTTGTGGAAACCCATACCTCAAGCAGAAAATGCCGTGACCTCCATAAGTCCCGTCCATAACGTCGTACGTCCGTTCCCCATCCCGAATCACCCCGCGAAAGTGAAGCTCGGGCTATCACCCGGCCGGTGATGCAGTGGGAGCCCGGTATCCCTCCGCGTCTACCTTCCCGCAGTTCCCGGTTGTGGATCTTTTTTGGTTCTTCTTCGTCCGCGGCTGTCTCGTCTCTGTCTACGATCCCGCTGCCAAGTACCCAATCCCGATTCGCAGTGTCCTCTTCTCGATCTTTGCCCCCCTGATTATCGATCAAAGAGAGGAATCCGAGCGTCTACGCAGGAGACAACGTAAGACAGGAGGGGTCCTGGCCATGATCCGTTGCCGAGAAGTTTCCGATCTGTCAAAACCTCTCCCCGTGATGAAGGGTGGGACCCATATGCTCCGCAATGCGGGCGCAGGGCGGACTCGGTAGTTGAGATTAGATCGAACTTGAGGCTCCGTCACCGCGTGTCCGCCGATCTGGGGAACTCGACTGCGTTCCAACGGTCACGGTAATAAAGGAAAAAATCGTCTCTTTTTTTCCCCTTGCAGAAGTAAACCCACAACCCGGTGTCTTGGGTTCGGCCCGTCTTTGATACTTTTGATGTTGGTGTCTTTCGGGCGGTTCTCTGATCTCTCGATAGGCACCAGTTAGTTCAGCGGAACTCTGGAGGATCCATCTGAAGTTCGAATGGTCACTCCTGGCAGCTTCCAGGCATACTATCTTGCCCCTTTGCGTTCGTTGGTGGAAACATTGCTGGCAACATCAGTTACAGAATGACTACCATTCTAGCCACGCTGTCACCCTCGAGGCCGACGTGATATCAAAGTCTACCGGTGCTGCCGACTGATTCCAGAAATAACATCCTCTCCGGTCTGCAATAGATTCCTATAGTACCACAGTCTGACAGCATCACGCCCTCTCTCCTTGGAATCGTTCTCGCAAAAGTTGCACATCCGGCAGCGTGGACGTCTAATTCCGTAATTCCGTAGTCTATCTCTGGCTAAACTTCCCCAGGATGACCCGGTGACGAAAGCCACCTCCGCATCGCCCGCCCTCCCCGCATCACCACCTCCAGGCTCCCCGTGCTCGCAATGACCAATTCGCGTCGGCAGTTCTTTCATTGGCCGTTTAAGCTTTCCTCGGACGCCAGTTGTGTCGCCGACGTAATTTCGAGTTGCGAGAGAGTGGTGATTTTCCAGCAGTCCTTCTAAGGTTTGGTGATGTCAGGTCTTTGGGTTTCGGAACGGGCTTGTAAGACGGATTTATGTACGAGATGGTTGACCGGGTTTGCGGTTTGCCTGGCGCAAATAACGTACATGGAGTACGAAGATAAGATATTTATGTCGTGCCATCCGTGACGTCCAACCTTGGCGTGAGTTGTTCATCAGAGGCCCGAGTCGTGATCTTGCTGCTCAAATTCGCGGTAAATTCGTAGAGGTTGATAACGCCTAGGTATCTCGATCGTGCCTATTCTAGCTTTGTCAGTCAAAGCCCCAGCCAACCATGGGCTCCCCAATAGACGCGTTAGACCCGAATGACACCAGTCACACTTACACCGAAGTTGCCGGGCTCTTCTTCCGAAAGTACTGGCCGATCCTGCTCCCTCTCGCTGTGTTAGTCAACGTCTTCCGCACCCGCTACCTATCTCCGCTCCGTCGATATCCCGGGCCGTTCATCGCCTCAACGACCCGTTTGTGGAAAGTCGTATCTACCGCATCGCGACGTACACACCTCGACCACATAGCTCTCCACAGGAAATATGGCCCGGTCGTGCGTATTGCGCCGAACGAGGTCTCCATCGCCTCGCCCGAGGCAGCGCGACACGTTCTGAGCGCCGGCAAGCGGTTCTACAAGACGGCGTTCTACGGCGTCTTTCCACCACCGGAGAATCCTGACATCTTCACGGAGGTCAACGAGGACGCCCACGCGAGGAAGAAGAAGGTCGCCAACGTTCCGTATAGCATGGCGGCGATGCAGCAGCTAAGCCCCTTCATTGATGATACCGTCGACCTGCTGGTTACTAAACTCGCCGGGTTCACGTCGCAGTCTATGGAGTACAAGGCTGACAAGTACGTTGATCTCGGGGCGTGGTTGCACTACTTTGCATTTGACGTGCTTGGAGAGGTGGCTTTCTCCCGAAGCTTCGGTTTCCTGGCGGAGGGCAAAGACGTGGAGGATGCCATCGCCACTATTGACCGCTCACAGGCGTACAATGGGATTGTTGGTCAGGTTCCGTGGGTTGACTTGCTTTTGCGGCGGAACCCTTTGTGGAAGCTATTCCCAACGTTGAATACGAAGAATGCGCCCATCACTCGAATTGCCTTGAGTGAGATGGAGAGAAGACGGCCTTTTGATAAGGAGAGCGAGGGCAAGCTGAGGAATGATGACGGGAGGCAAGATCTCCTAGCGAGTTTGATCAAGGGACACTTGAAGGACACTGAGAAATTTACCGAAGGTGACGTCTTTGCTGTTGCCCACGGCGCGATGTAAGTTTGATCAACGCATGAGAGTAGCCGATGCCTTGGACTAACGAACTTATTTATAATAGCTTCGCTGGATCAGACTCGACAGCTTCGACCATGCAATCACTCTTCTGGCACATCCTTTCGGCGCCACGTATTCACGCAAGACTGGTTGCTGAAATCGAAGATGCCGTCAAATCTGGAGCGATGCCTCCGACTGGCAACATCTCATGGAAAGAAGCCCAGGAGCTGCCGTACTTTCAAGCATGCTTGAAAGAGGCTATGCGCGTGCGGCCAGCAGTAGGTCTCAACATCAGCCGCGTGGTTCCACCAGAAGGAGCCGAACTCGACGGCAGATTCTTCCCCGGTGGGACGCAGGTGGCCGTCAACGGCTGGGTCTTGCACCGCGATAAGCGCACTTTCGGCGAAGATGCGGATGATTATCGCCCTGAGCGGTGGCTGGTAGATGTTGAGGAAGCAAAGAAGATGGAGCGATACATGTTCCAAGTGAGTAGACCAAGCTATTCTGGCGCTGTTGAAGCTAACGATGGTGTCCAGTTCGGTGGTGGAAGCCATGTTTGTATCGGCCGGAACCTAGCTCTGTTAGAAATCAACAAGGTCGTGCCGCGTCTCTTCAGAGACTTCAAGTTCGAGTTGGCGCATCCTGGCCGGCCGTTGAGAGCAAGTGCTACGTTCTTTGTTGTACAAGATGGCCTGGAGGTATTGATTGAGCGACGGGAATTGGCCTAGACACCTGTCCATGGTGCGAACATGCCAGTGTACATGAGCAGATGACTATGCAGTAAGACTTTCATAGCACTGCGACTGAATGAAGTTGATAATGTGTATTAACCCGACTGTGCTGTTTAAACACTGAGAGACTTTGGGGACATCGTAGATACTACTAGGCCGAACCTGACCACCTCACTGGAAGCGTCCGTAGGAGAATGGCTCAGACAAGTGACAACGAAGGCCGTCGTTGAATTCTAATCTCCCCCGACTTCCGCCCCGGGGGAGTGGTCGCCGCCTCGTCTCTGCATACAACGTCGGACAAAGCCCGACGCTTAGCTGCCAAATCGGAGCGAAACATGCCACTCGCGTGTCTTCATTGTGGGCTGGGATGATGCGAGACCAGGCTAAATCACCGGATTGGCTACGGAGAAAATACTTATTCTGCAAGCTCTTAATCGACAATCCAGTGTGCCAGTCAAACACGACCGACTGCGGAATCGGGGTGTTGCTGCGGGGTGTCAGATGCGGTATCACCATCGCGGCGCGATATGGCGTCACGCCGGGCTCGGCCCCGACCCCACCGAGGCTGTCGTTATCTCCAACCCGGAGCCGTGGGCGGCCAACTATCGGGGAACTTGGGTGTTTTGATAAAAGTGCTTGCATGACCCGGTTTCTGCAGCTCTGATGTGCAGGTGAAGCGTTTTGTAACTTTGAACTCTATTTGAGAACTCGAAACGACGAAATGGGGAGCACAAGCCAGCCACAGCAGCTTCAAGTTGCCATCATCGGCGCAGGTATCGCCGGTTTGACAGCTGCGATCGCGTTGAAAGAACACCCAGGTATCAACGTTCAGATATATGATAAGGCGACAGAGCTTCGAGAAGTCGGCGCTTCTATTGCTCTGGGCCCGAATGGCCTGCGTACGTTGGAGAAGCTGGGTGTTCACAATGCTCTCGACGATTCGATTGCTTTCCGCAACAAGTCGGGTTA